GGCTAGCTCCTCCGCCAGCTCCCTTCACGTAAAGGTATAAATCCAAACAGGCTACAGCCAGTGTCCTGCTATTCTTTCACAGAATCAGTTTTCTTCCTGTGGCTTCCTCGACCACCTGCTCCATAAAACATTAACCATGACTAAAAATATTATTTCAGAATTTGACCCCAAGTTACATGTCCTCAAGCTATGTGGGTTAAGTCTCCTGCAGCAACTGTTCCTGCCCTTGACTTCTCCATCTCAATCATTGTCACCACCCCAATCAAATAGCATGAAAATGGTAATAACTGATGTTTTTCTTGTTTACACAGAAATTTTAATCCTTAGAGGTCTATAAGTTTATCAGATCTTAGTCTATGACCTCTTTAATAAATAGCACCACATCTTCACAAACATGGCCAACTTTGTCCTTCTTGTACACTTCACATCGTGGTAGCATGACCTTCCAGATTTTAAACACTTGAAACCCAGTTCTACAGTGCTTTAAATTAAGTCAGTCCCTTCTTTAAAAAACATGCTCTATTTCAGAAGTGCCCCAGCTTCCAGAGGATCCGGACCCCACCTCCTCACACCAGTTCCTCAGCAACATACCAGAACTGTTCCTCCTCACCTCTCTTTCTGGTACTGGGCAAAGCACAGTGCTGTGCAAAGGTGGGGAAAAGCATTCTGGAGACTGCTACCGCAGAGGTCCTGGTTTTCAACTTCCTATGTAATAGTTAAAAGTTTTACATACAGAACCTTTTCTGCTCTTCCCTATGCCTTCCACACCACAGGGACCACAGCTATCACTTCACGCTCAGCAACTGCTACAATATTCAGATGCCTTGGGAGAGCCGTGTACTTTGTGTCTACCAGTCACGTCACGATGCCATTCTCCCCGGAGTCACAAACCCAGTTATCCATCTACCTGATCACTGAATTGCTAACCATTATATGGTCCGCCTTTTCCTTTTAGCTGGCCCCTGGCCTCTTAGGGTTATCTTCAAAGGAAAATTACACATGATCATGATACGGAAAACCTATTGCTGGACTCGTCACTTCCCTTCACCCAGCTCAGTGTTTTCCTGCTGCAAGACTAGGGCTTGTCCAAAGTTTCTTGGGGTGAACGCTGACAAATAGGGCTATGCCAGTGACAGCCAAGAAAGGCCAGCCCAGGTCCTTCAGCTCTCACCATGTATAAATAATGTAACTACACAAGCACCAGGAAAGCGTTAGTGTTTATAAAGGAAATAATAAGATCACTGAGCTTAGAAAAGTACCCAAAAGAGGCTGTGGCAGCAGCCAGTTCAGGAGCAGAAGATTTGAACATCCTGATGGCATTTAGGGCAAACAAGTTTATCTCAAAAAACTCTCCAGTCACAGAGGACAGATTCCAGGACATTTGGCTGGAATCTGGCTTTTCTATTTCTCATTTAGAAGGACAGAGATTTGTGAGGGTTTCCAAAATACCTAGGATGTACATTATTACATAGCAAATCTGACATTCTCTGCAGAAATGGTAAAAGCCCGCAGCCTGTCTACAAAAAGAAAAGCTCAAGGCGCTCTGCTTGTTGAGACAGGACAGTGGACACTCCAGTGCAATACAGCTCGGACACAGTGCATGCAGAAACGCAAACAAATGCCCTGAGTGTATTTTGCACTGCTCCAAGGCCCAGGCCACAGGTGAAATGACTACTTCCTGCAGATGGTAGCCCTAAGCTTTTAGATCTGATTGACCCCACCCTGGAG